AGATAACTTTTGTTATGAATTGGTGCTATACAAATAAAACTGAACTGAATTGAATTGAATTGGTGTCATGGGGGCCTCAAACACATGACATTGTCCCTCTAGCTCTCGACTACAATGTCAATTGAAGGCAAAAATGATCCAAATAACAAAAACAAATCAGACAGTTTGTAACCACTGCCTCAGCAATGACTTGAGTTGAACTGATAAAAAAACACAAGTTCAGTCACTTTCATTAAGGAATTGATCATTTGAAGCAATGATTCTACAGTTTTTACAGATTTACAGGTTTGGCAGAAAAGACTAAAAATATGTCCAGCAATCAGGCTTCTGCTAACTGAATTTGTGTACTTCAGGGCTGGAGGTGCTGGCAACTGCAAGCTGAGTACATAATCAGAAAAATCTAACTAGTGTTTGTGGAATAGACGGCACACTCAACCTGCAAAAATAAAATCAAGGCAAATTTGGTTGTTATTTCACGCTGGGCCATGCTGTGCACCTATGAATATGATTGGACATTACTAGTCAGCTGAGAGCCACACAGCTGATGAATGAGTCAGTGGCTGTGAAGCATGAATGAGACTTTAGTGCTCAGCCTGAATAACACATTTTTTTCCCATTTGTAATATATCACTCTTAAATTTAAGCATGTCAAGGCAATTCTCTTAAAACCTGGAACCAGGACTTGACAAGCTTTGGACCTCTTAAAAAGTTATGTGAATAATGCTGCTTAGAAGTGCTTTACTAAACCATAATATGTGAAGCGCACTTGAGCAACATTTTAATACGTCTTACCACTGGGAAACAATGGCCTCTTCAGAAATTACTTCTGCTGCTGGAAGTTGGAGTGTGGGAGGTATTTAAATTGTTTTGCAGCAACAAAATGCTAAGTTTTGCAGTGACTCTTCAATATACAATGAAAAGGCTGTATGCATGCATAATAAAACCTCCCTATCAGGAGAGCTGGAAACAAAACAAGGATAGTCGTATGAGAGCAGGGTCCGCAGGGCCATAGCTCCTGATTCGTCCTCAATAATTGTAATGTGATGATAAGGAGCTTATAGGCTCTTGTTATCCACCAATAGGGACGGACAAGACAATAGCCAGCGTACCAGTATGCTAAAAGATTACCATTCTGATGACATCTCTGCGTCCACTTAACACCCACATCAGGTCAGCTGTTCATAATTTGGTCAGCAACACCAATTTAGCCTCCACCCGGGGGTCTGGATGCACTGAGGGGTAAATATTGACCCTTGTTTGTAAGCAAGGCTCACATTTTGAGTGTGCAAAATGGCCTATTTGTGTTCTCGAGATGTTTAGGTCATTGTGTCATGGAGGATGTGTATCAGCCTCTCATAGGGCTGAGAGAGAGGATCTAATAGACACCTGCCCACATAATAGCAACTGGTTGGTTATCATTTCACGAGTGACTGAGCTCATTTAGGTGATGCTGAAAAAAAACAAAACAATGAGCATGATAAGTAAAGTACAGATAAATGTTCCAATAATTTATATGATTTTTGTCCTTAAGACTGAGATATATGCCCCTTAATTAATTAATACTGTATAATAGTATCAATGATAACACTGGTGGTACACACATACACAGCAACCTGATCTGAAATCAATTTACATTTTCAGATCAAAAACCCTCCTCTTGAATTCTTGCCCCGGGCACTGAGTCTTAGATGACCTCTACTCTTTGTCCCGGGGACTCTGGCCTGCCCTCGCCACCTCCCTCCTCACCGGCCAGTCTAAACTCTGTGGGAAACCCCCCAGTGCTTTGTGTTGTTTTGAACATTTGTGTCTCACCAGATAATGTCCGCACCCCTCCGTTTCTTTCCTCTCCCATCTGAGGAACTGCTGTGTGGAGCGTGGTGTCCGGTGCTAACTGCCCTGTAGAGAGATGGGATCTGACCATGGGGGTTAAGAACCGCTTTTCATTGTGCCTTGACACAGTGCTCACACCCTGCTGCTGTTAGTTTGCCAGGCAATGAGAATAAGTGGCAGTGATGGATGCTGACAGGTGGTTTTGGCATTGATAATTCTATTAACCTCTGAAACTATGCTGTACCAACAAGTGGTTTCATCTTTACAAACATTTAGTTTAGTTTAAACTTTAGACTCAATTATGAAAATACTGGAAGATACAAAATATCCTCAGCACAATTTAGGCTAAATTTGTATAAAATGATGCATGAAACAGCTAATTTATTCTGATGACTGTGTAGCTACAAACATGGCACACATTACCCTGAACACACCATGATTAGAAAGGTTTATGTTTGTTTAATTTTTAAGAGGCTTAAACCTACATTAGTTGATTTTGGCCACTTGGGGGCAGCACAACAAGAAGTACATACAACACTGACATATTATCACCTTATATGGTTAATATGGCTAATGTGTTAGCATACAGTCACAGAGCACCAAATATTTGTGTAGAGTCAAGTTTCTGTTGACCAGGGTGCCCAGTTAGCTCAGTCGGTAGAGCTGGCGACCCATATATGCAGCAGCCCGGGTTTGAGTCTGACATGCGGTCCTTTGCTGCATGTCGTCCCCTCTCTCTCTGCCCCCCTTTCCTGTCTTTCTCCAGCTACCTCTATCAAATAAAGGCATAAAAAATAATACTTTAAAAAAAAAGGGATTTTTTCTGCTGTTTACCCCCTAGGTGATTATTTTCCTCGCAAGGTGGTTTTCCCGTTTACATTGGAAAGGATAGATGAGCGGAACCGAAAAAGCACGTGTGAAATTGGTTGGGGACACAACTATTTTGACGGGTCGTGTTTTTCTTGCAACAATATCCCCGAACTCGTTGAGCGCAACCCCAGTCTGTGCCATCAGTCGGTTATTAGACCCCAAAAACACCATTTTGGAGATTCCCCTTTTTAACCTGCCTTGGGAAAAAATCCCTATTCTCGAGGATCCTCAGTAAGGAAAGTGGAAAAAATACTGTATCGAGAAGGGGGGAAACTTTCTGTGGGCTTAAGCCTTTGGCTTGCCCCACGTTTTTTTGGAATAGCGGCCCCATAGGATAAAGCGGAAATAAATAAATTATATTATATAATGGATTATATCATATTTATATATAATATTCTCATTCTGCAGCATTTAGACCTATGTAATGAACAACACATGTCTGGCCCTTTTTTGGAAATTTTGCTCATTGAATAAAGATATGCATTTAACGACTTCCAAATGTCTTGTTGCTCATTAACTAACAACCCTGTACTTTAAATGTTTTCTCCATAGTTTTGGTCAAGTGAGGATTACCTCCAACTAAAGGACATCCCTCCAAACTGTGGAAGTAAGACGGCCACCAGTTTTTGTCATGTGAATTGTGATGTCATTCAACTCGGACCAAGGACCCAATCGACCCCTTGGCCTTTGACCCTTATTAACCCTGGGTTAGAGTGCCGCATTCAAGGTGTAGCCATCTGTGTGCCTTGTTGTGTCGAGGCTTTCCTCCTCCCTCTCTCTTTATCATCCCTCCCAGTGTTCACGAGCAGTGGAGTGATCAGAGGAACCCCTAGATGACAAGATGATTCACTACTGCAATCCTCTATAAGTTAGAAATATATGTGAGCCAAGGCAGTAGAGAAATGTAACTAAGTACAAATCTGAAGTATTTGTACTACAATTTAGTATTTAAATTTTCCATACTTTATACTTTTTACATTTCAGAAGGAGATATTGTACTTTTTACTGTACTACATGTGTATGACAACAGGTTATGTTACATATCATGATTTTACATACAAAAGCAATGATGAGCTAAACTGCAGTTATACTACAGTATATAAAATAGTCAGAATTAGCTAAATTAATTAATTAAGACATAAAGATTTTTATATAGTGTTCTACTTTTAAGTACATTTTACTGATAGTACTTAAAATAACATTTTGAATGCTGGATTTTTACTTTTAATATAATATTTTTTTGTGGTATGCAAAACTTGAAGGATCTAAATACTGAATACATTTTTAGGACAAACTATATATATTTCCCAATGTGTTCTACTCTGTTTAATGTTTGAATCATGATGATTTAAAGAAGCAAATATGACATTTTATTGATATTTTACAGTGGTCGCTGTTCCAAAACTCTCCTGTAAATGGACACAAACAAATATTCAACACCGGTTGCCCTCATGCTTGTTCAGACAACATTTTCAGTCAGACTTCAGTGTAGTGGTTATCAAGAAGTGTAAAGGCAGTCAACCACAGTCAGTGCACATCAATTAGGAAGCCAGAGGCATCTACTGGAGATTTAACAGATGATTGTTACTCATACTTCCTTTTAGCAGTGACAGGATTTTAAAACGTTGTGGATTGAACTTTGAACAAAAAAAAGGGTTCATCCACCCCTCTTATCATTCAGCCGCATGCATGTAGTTATCAGCTGCTGAGTTAGATGTTTGTTTACAGTATTGACTGTGACAGTCCGAACATATAATGTGACTCTCTGTCTGAGGACGAATTTGCACAGATAACAAAGTCTAATTAACAGGGAGAACTACTGAATGGGGCTCTCGATCATTGTCTCGTTGCTACAATGAGAATTCTTCAAAATATGCTCCTTAATACCACCGTCATCTTCCTGAAACTGTACCTTCACTGTTAGTGGAGAGCATTTATCCACTTTACACTTGATGATCACAGTGTCATTGGAAGCTTCTTGGCTACAGTGGGTGAGATCAGGCATCTCATCTTTGGACAACCGACACAAAAGCTGGTCCTTGTCGATGGAGACAACTGGCAGTTTGCTCAGATAGCCCGGGCTCTCGCAGAGCATCCTGTCAAGCATCTCTATGTCTTGGCTGTTTCTCAGCACCCAGTCATGCAGATACCACATGTGGCAGTCACATTTCCAGGGGTTTCCGTGTAGTCTCACTGTGTGCTGGAGGACAAAAGGGTCTAAAAGGCCCGGTGGGAGAGTTTCCAGCTGGTTGTCAGACAGGTAGAGCTGCTGGATGAGCAGCTGATCCTCAAACAGTTCAGCATCCACGTTGCTCAAGTTGTTGTTGTTTAAGTGGATTGCCTTGATGCTAAATAGACCATGAAAGATCATTTTGGGCAGTAAGGTGAGCTGGTTTTCAGACAGGTCCAGATTCTCCAGGACTGTAACATTTCTAAAAATGTCTTGAGGAAGGGTGGAAAGCTGGTTAGAAGACAAGATAAGGTCGGTAAGAGATGTCAAACTGCTTAGAGAGGACAGCTCATTCAGTCTGTTGCCTTTTAGGTTCAGCTCCTCCAAATTTGTGGCCTTGAATCCAAACACTTTATCGCTGAAGGTTGTAAGAAGGTTTCCACGGAGGTTCAGCACCTTCAGTTCGGTTAACATAAAGAAGATGCTGTCAGCAAGCTCTGATATCTTATTCCCCTCCAAGTGAAGCTCTGTCAGTTGAGAAATATTGTGGAACGTGTCAGATGCAAGAATGCTGATGAGGTTATAGTTCATTTTAAGGGTGTCCAGTCTTGCCAGACCAGAAAAAGTTTCCCTTTTCACTCCTTCAAGCTGATTTTGTGACAAATCCAGGACACGCAGATTGTGGAGGTTCAGGAAAAGAAATGTAGGCAGATCTGATATGATGTTGCCCTTCATCTGCAGCGTTTCTAGCTGTTTAAGAGAGTCAAACATACCAGGAAGCACTGTCTTGAACCTGTTGAAGTTAAGCACCAGTTTAGTCAAGTTGCCCTGCTTTGCAAAAGTCTCCAGATATAAATGCTCCAGTCCAGGGTTCCCACTGATTTCCAGCTCCTGCAGCTCAGCCAGATGCTCAAAAGACTTAGAGTGAATACTTCGCAGTGCATTATTTAGGAAGATAAGCTTGGTGAGTTGGGGGCTTTCCTCTAAAGTGTGGAAGAACAGGTAGGCCAGGGATGAGGACATTATAATAAAGTCCTTGACCTGCCTGGACGTGTTCCTGGGTAAAGATGACATTCCTGCATCAGCACACAGTACTTGGACTGGAGTGAAACACTGGCATTTGTATGGACAAGAGGTTTGTACGTCTGTGTTGCCTTTGTGACAGAGAAGCAGCACCAGGAACAGAATCAGGCTGCGGTCTTTGTCCATTTTTCACTGTCAAATCATGAAGAAAGCTTGTATGAAGTAACAGGAAATCAAAGTCAATGTTGCTTTGATTTAAGAGCATTGTACATTGTACTCCTGTTTGTTTTTCTAGCTGTCATTTATTCACAGAGAGAAGAATCAGTAACATTCAAACTGTATGTTTCCATTTAAATACATTTAATTCAACGTACCTCTGTGTTACAGGGATCTCCGTAGCATTGAATTTCCTTGTGGATCTACAAGCTAGCTGAAACAAAGTGCAAATGACAACAAGTCTGAATTAGGCAAGACAAAACCTTTGGTCAGTGGCCATGCAGCTCCTGCCATGGTTTGCTCACAACAAAAAAAGGCAGACAATCCTGTTATTCAGTAAATCAGCTCCCATAGCAGAATATAGTTGACTTTTATTTTTTGCTGTAATACACAGCGTGATTAAAAAGCAGAGGAATTTCATCTTGTTAATGTTAGTTTCAGAAAAAGTTTGTCACAGTTGAGTCACTATTTACCAAAACAAATAGATCAGAGAGTAATGTGATTTCAAAAGTAGATCATTCTTTTTTTCTAATTTTCTGCCAGAAATAACAAATACTACTACTAATAATACTACCACATCTACTGCTTCCACTACTAATGATTCTATTGATTTTATACTATTTACTATATTTGTCATTCTTTTTATTTATTACCTTTACAAGAGAGACCTGGCCAAAACAGCAATGTAGACTAGTTAACACAGAGTCAAAAAAACAAAAACATTCACATACGGAAAAGCATAATAATACCGGAGCAGAGAGGCATAAATTCATAAAACATGTTTCTGTGTGGTGTTTAAATGCCTGGTGAGAAGTCAGTGTTTCCAAATGAAGTTTGTCATGTAAATTGCTTCATGCTTTGGAACCTCAGCTGTAGTGTGAATACCAATTGTGAATATTACTATGTCTTACTGTGTTTGAGTGTAAGTACCTTATACAATCTACCGTATCTACCTGCACTCCTTGTACTAGTGTATTTTTCTATGGAGGTTATTTTGTGACTTTGCTGTACATTTAGGAGCAGTTTCAGTCATTGCAGGAAACCATCACCTCCACTAGGTGTCATCCTGCTCCTCCTGACCTCAGTCAGAGGTGCATGGCATTCCTGGATCCTCCCTCTCCTCCAGGGTGTGATGATGTACAGGTAGACAGCACTGTTTGGGATCAGATGCACCACCCAAAACCAGCAGGAACTACATCAAGAAAGCTTTTGGAACTTTTTCAATCTTTTGGAACTATTCTTTTTCTTTTTTTTCTTTTTTTAGGTTTCTGAGGTTAAACGATGGCCAATGCAGGTATGCAGCTTCTCGGCTTCACGCTGGCTTTCCTGGGCTTCATTGGCACAATAGCATCCACAGTCATGGTAGAATGGAAAGCTTCATCCTATGCAGGAGACAACATCATCACAGCTCAGGCAATGTTTGAAGGGCTGTGGAAGAGCTGTGTATCTCAGAGCACTGGTCAAATTCAGTGTAAAGTGTATGATTCACTTCTCCAGCTCCCAGGTAATGTTGTTTCGCATATCTTCTTTTCATGATACCTTTTATAAGATTCCTTTACAAAGACAAAGAGCCTATATTATCGCATAAGCCAATTACAGTATATTGGTTGCTAAATTTCTTCTTTTACAAAAATATGGGTGTGGGAAGAGAATAGGTCAATGAATGGTATATTTATTAACTTTTTTATCTTTTTATCTTTTTCAATAGTGACTTTATGAAATTGTAATGAAATCTCTTAATTTTAGAAGATTTTTGGGCTGTCTGGAATAAAACAGTAATGTGTAAATCTGTCTGGTCATTCAAACTTTCTTGGTTGTTTAAGAAAGGCCCTTCTTCTCTCCCTGTAAGACCTCTTTACATGTAGAAACATGTCAGTCAAATACCAGCAGCTGAAGAAACTCCTCCTTCTTTTGAAATCAATTCCAAAGAAACAGTTCAAATGTATCTACGTGAAGGGGTTTTCTTTTCTTTTCTACATCATCAAAGAAAAGCTCTGGCATCCGCTTTTCCATCAGATAAAAAGAAAATCCTGGAGGGCATGTTTTCCAGTACTGCAGCTTTCCTGACTGTTATGTGACTTTTGGTAAACAAGAAAGTGAAAACTGAGATTCAATAAAGCCATAGTTAAGTAACTATATACAAAAGACGGCTTGCTGGATGACTTTGATCAGATTTAATTTAAGCTTTTATTTTAGATATACTAGAAATAGATGTAATTGATGTAATAGCATAGAGAAAGCAAGCAGGAGTAGGGAAGACCTAGGGGAGTCGACAGAAAATACAATCAACTGCTCATCTTTATAAAGTCAAAAGTCAAAGCTAAATAAATAACATAAAAACATGTGGAAACATGCGGACATTGAGTGATCTCGTACCATGTCTTTGTCTCCAGGGATTGTACAAGGCACACGAGGGTTGATGCTGGCCTCCGTCTTGCTGAGCGTTATTTCTATCATGGTGGAGGTGGTGGGCATGAGGTGCACCACCTGTATGGCAGCAGACCCGAAGCAGAAGGATAAAGTGGCTCTAGCTGGAGGGGTTATCTTCATTATCGCCGGTCAGAGTCCATTCATTTCAGACACATGCAACACAGCGATTGAACACATTACATATTTTTTTCACTAAAGAAGTTCCACCACACCACTGAATATTTCCCTTTGACCACAATAATACAACCACTTTTAAACATGACTTGACTTGTAGGAAATTTGTGGGTAGAAGATAATACATGAAAGATAACACACTCCTGCATGTTTTAACCTGTATAATACAACAATATAATATGTTCTTCTGCTCATGGTTTTCCAGGTCTGCTTGCTCTGGTGGGAACGTCTTGGTATGGCCACAGAATAGCACAGGAATTCTACAACCCATTCACTCCCACTAATTCCAGGTGAGCTCTTCCTTCTCTGCCGTTCAGTCTGGAATTCACACTAATTATCAGGTATCAGTGTAGTGTAATGACGCAGAGGACAGTCTTTTATTATGCTGTCATTTGTTATTACACACCTATAGGAGTACTTTAATATTTATAAGTATAAAGTAAAAGCACAATACCACTCACAATACACACAAAGGCCTTACTTCTAGATTTATCTTAAAAGGTCCAGTGTGTAACATTTAGGAGGATCTTTTGGCAGAAATGAAATATAATATTAATAGGTATGTTTACATTAAGACCATGTAAGACCGTTGTGTTTTTGTTACCTTAAAATGAGACGCTTGTATTTCCAATAGTCTTCTTCTAAGGAGTCCGCCTTGTTGAACCGCCATGTTTCTACCGTAGCTCAGAATGGACAAACCAAATACTGGCTCTAGATAGGGCCCTTTTCTGGTTTTCTTTTGTGCTTAGAAGGTGAGCAGTATTCAGCTGGTGGCAATCTGCAACTTCACTGCTAGAAGGCACTAAATCTTACAGACTGGTCCTTTAAAAAGTATTATTAGTCAAATATAGGCTACAAATGTATCAAACATAAACATATCTACTGGGCACGCCTCACTAACTAGTTTGTAAACTGTTCATTTACAGCACTGCATCACATTTTATAAATTGATTGAAATTTTTATCTGCAAAGTAATTAGTAACTAGGCTATATCTGTCAAATAAATACAGTATAGTATAGAGTAAAAAGTATAATATCTGCCTCAGAAGTATGTGGAGCAGAAGTATCAAGTAGCATAAAATTGAAAGACTACTTGATTAAATGTACTTTACACCCCTTGAAACATGGTAAATGTGAAGCTACTCATGGTAGTGCAGCCAGTTAGCTAAGTTTAGCGTAAAGACTGAAAACAAAGGGGCAAACGGCTATAGCCTGGAGTCTCATCATCACTGTGAGTGAAGTAATCACTCCAGGAAGTCACTTCAGCCAGCCAAGAAAACATAACCCCCAGTACAACCAGAATGTATTGTGTTCTCAGCCAGACTTGTAGTTTCCGCCTGTTTCCAGTCTTTATGCTAACCTAAGCTAACAGGCTGCTGACCATAGCTTCATATTTAACTTATAGACATGAGAGTGGTCTCTAACTCTCAAAAAAAAGCTTTTTTCCCAAAATGTTAAAATATTCCTTCGATTTTCCAGAACACTCGTTCGTGCTCATGTTGTTAACTTTACAATAACATCTTGAAACCAAACGTTGTGATGTTGGAACCTCGCTGCTGTGAAGCAGACATAATTGAATATAATATAAATACATTTGTGTGTAGACTTCAGGACTTGTATTACTGCTAAATCTGTGAGAAAACTCACTCTTCCCTGTCCTTTCAAAATGTCCAGATAAGTGATGTGTGAATCATTCACAGGTATGAATTTGGAAGCGCCCTGTATGTTGGATGGGGAGCTGCCTGTCTCACTATTATTGGAGGGAGCTTCTTCTGCTGCATCTGCTCCAACGAGGGCTCAGGCAAATCTCCGCGCTACCCACCGTCCAGCTCTGCAGGACAGCCGGGCAGGGACTACGTCTGAGACAATTACTGCATCCAGAACGCTGTCTTACACACGTCATTAACATTTGTTTGATGTATGTTTGCAAGTGCTATATTTGGTGTATGCTTATAGTTGTTGGGAAATACACTCCATTCTTTGGTCGAAAATGTCACATAAAATATTTTTTGACGCAGTATACTCAGAACATCTCAGGAGTCAGGAGATTTCTACATACAACTTGCATCCATTTAGTATTAATCTGCTCAGGGTTTTATGGTTTAGTTTTTGTTATTTGCTTTGTTTGAAATATTGCTATTATACTTTTGTATTATGTCAAATAAAATCCTCATTACTTTCCTATTATTGTATGTTTTAATATCATTCAAGTTTTATTTGTTTGATGTGTTTGTCAGAATCAGTGTCTGTCTCTAATGTGTGGAGCTGGATATTAACTCTTCAGGAAGTAGTTAAGTAAAGAATAAGTTGCAGACACAAACAGGAAAATATCCTTCACTAGACAGGAAAGGTATGTGATAAAATGTAATTTGAAAAGTAACAAGTAACTAAAACGGTCAGATACACGTACTGGAGTAAAAAGTACAATATTTTCCACTGAGATAGTGATGGAAGAAAGTATGAAGTTGTAATGGAAATACAAATAAAAGTACCTACAACTTATACATAAGTATTGGACTTGAGTAAATGCTCTTAGTTACATTTCACCACTGCAAATATATAAACTAATAAAAAAAAAAAGTTGCAGTTATTTCTTAAATCGGCTGAACACTGTCATTTTAACAAATATCCCAAAGAAGAGTAAATGTTGAGAAATAAGTTATAGCTTTGAGAACCGTCAAAATACGTGTTAACAGAATCAATGACCGTGGTGGTTGGAATTTATCAACAACATGAAAAATATTGCTTATTGCTTTGACACATATAACAATGACCAGAATCACTATGATACTGTAAAATAGGGACACAATTACTCATGTGAGACCTGAGTTAAGGGAGTCCTGTGTGTATGTAAGTGTGTGCAAACATGTATGTGCGTGGGGGAAGGAGAAAATAAATCCACCAGTCACTTCCCACATCCCTCAATGCAAGAGCTAAGATGCAGTATGGAGAAACACCGCAAGTATTACACAAATCCACTGTGTGGAAAGGTCACAGTGTGAAACATGGAGAACAATCTTTTAGTTAGCCTGATTGTTGAGAAGCATAAGAAGTTAAAACAATCTGTAAAAGGTTTAAAAAAGTTTTCATTGTCAACATCTAGCAGTGACTGCTCCAGAAATGTGTCACCTCAGGGAAGACAAAACTAAGGCAAACAGGGAGGCATACCTCAGACCACTGGCTCCTGTCCCAACATGTCTCCTCACAGAAGAAAGTAGACATCACAGTTCATGGAAACCAAATTCCACAGGATTTATACCCACCTACGTTTAGCACATTAAATCACACTCTTTAAATTCTCAGAATGTCAGGCCTGAAGCGTAGGACTAGGACAGCACTCCCAAGATACTGATATTGTTATATAACAAAAAGTTAAATGAGAGTGCTGTCCTAGTCTTTTCTTCCATGATTTAACACATTTAGGATCCAGCACCAAGTCCTTAAAGTCTTAATGGGAGTTAAACATGTCATGGTATTTCATCCTACCAGCACCTGCACATACACAACATGATTGTATGAACTCACAGTTGTTTCCATTGTCTCACTTCCAGCACAGTCAGCATGCAGCGATTCTGCAGCAGAGAGCTCCACCATCTGGTAATGCTGCAGTCTGCAGCTCAAACATCAGGCAGCTGTAGATCGCTTGGACTCATCAAAGATAACAGAAAGTTTGCGTATTGTGTAAAATGATGAATGTCAGACAATCGATAAAGTTCAAGTTTATGTTTAACTTGTTTATGCAAAAAGGGAAAAAAAACAAAGACAATACACATACACAAATACAATAAAACAAAACAATAATTGAAAATAAATTAAACTATATGACAAAGAAGATGACATGGTTTGAAGACATTAAATTATAGTATTTCACCATAAAAAGCAAGAAAATACAGAGAAAATAAACAATTTGTCATCTATTTTTTTCTTGTACTTCCAGGAACTAATCTGGATTCATATGACACTGCTTTGTCATTCTGATATATACCAGAATGAGAGAAAGAGTGAACTCTTCCACTGAAAGAAATCTGAAAGATCTAAATATATGAACCTACAAGCTAATGTAAAAATATGATTGTAAGTGCAGTGTTAAACAATGTTCGGTGAGGACAATTAGGTCAGGTGACCTACGCCTTTATAGACTGTATCTAGTCCATTCTATGATTTCTTTAACAAAACAAAAATCACAGAAAAGTGCAATTGTAAATAGTAATGTGAAAATATTCTGTGAGGAGTGATAATGTGTGGCCACTAGAGGACAACAGAGGCCATGTTTTGGATCAATTTCCACTCCCAACACCTGACATATAACAACAAACTAACTACAAATCAAAGCAAGAATACCAGTAAAATATTTATTTAATATCATAATTAAATGGTATACATATAAAAACATCAAGAGTTTCACTTAATTCATAATTCTTACTGTTAGACAAGATTCACATTATTGAAGATGGCTCTGGTACAGAGATGTTAGGGTTTATTCTGAGCTGTTTAATACAATTTTTACAACCATTTCACTTTACATGTATTGTTTAGAAAACAATGCAATTTTACAATAATCAAATATTTCAAACATGAACAGGAACAGAATTAAGCACACCTACCACAGCAATCGCCATGAATCTATAATTAAATTACCATAATTAACAAATGAACAGTAAAACCCGTTTTTGATACACTTCAGTACGGCTCTGACTCTTGCACTACTTGATACTAAGATCTCTAAAAGCGTTTCTGTTGTGGCACTGTTGCAGGTCTGAAAAAGAGAGTCTGAGCATCTCAAATATAAATGTCTGGTATCCATGGCATCAAGGGCTTAAAGGAGAGGAAGTTTACCAACAATAAGTAACCACTGTGACCTGCAACATGGCTCAGATTAGACCTATAATCTTACGAGGAGCTCTAAGAACCTTCTTAAATTACTGTAAGCTAATTGTCCAAATCCTATTTCCTCAAAGTTACAATATACATTCAAGGCATGTTTGCATGTTACTCCTCAGCACCAGCACTATTATATCTTATCTGCATTTCAGCAAATAACCCATAAAATATGCTGCATTTAGATTGACATTTTTATGATCTTAGTAAAGCAACTCTGCGTTTAGGCTGATGAAGTGCATCGACAGAGCAGCACTCGAGGGCTTCCCCCATCTTCAGTCCAGTAATGGATCTGAAGCTGGACCAGACTTTAACTCAAACTGCTGTAATCAGCAGAGTGCATCTGGCAGACATCACAGAAAAATCAATGAGCGGGTACAAAATCAAACGGAAAACTAAACTGCTGTTAAAATCATTTCTGTCTTCCATGTGTTGTTCTCTTGAATGACACAAAAAATTACCCTGAAAGTGCAGAATAAAAGAGACGTGTTGGTGTGTCAGCTACAGTCGACACTGGGCACAGATCAGCTTTATCTCACACTGCACAAATACCAGTTATCAGAGCTGCCCAGACCATCAGATTGATCTATTCACCACCCTTAATGTAGAAATAGTTTTATCTGTGCACAGTCTAATGAGTTCCTGAAGATTTGGCAGCTCTAATTGGATTATACAGACAAACTAACAGTCAAAGTGGTGTTACTGAAATGTAAACCTTACTGCCTTACTTTGAAACTCTTTCCAAACATTGTAGATTATAATGTCATTGCTGCCCTCTAATATTCTATCTTTGACTGTAAATCTAATAAGGATCAGAGGCATTTTGTCTGATGACACTGCAGTTATTCCCTGCAAAGATAGTGTCCCTCCTATCTTAATATGTACAGAATATATATTAATACCATCTTTCCACCAATTTATTGATTAGTCGAGGCTCTTATAGAAACACTTCAGCTCATTTGATCTACTTTAAGTGGCCTTTATTTTATGAACCAACATCTTTAATTACAAGTTAGTTTAGACTTTTAAATATATGATACAGTGTTATAATCTAAAGTATCCAACACTGATTTTAGTTAAAATTAGCTTCAGCAAAATGCTGCTTCCACATTATTGGAGTGGAGACAGTAGATGTATACATAACAATATAACAATCACAGATGCCATTTGTCTGCATAAGAAATTATTTTCTTTAAATATTCTAAGTTTGTTCTGCTGATAATACTTCTGCACGTTTACTGAAGTAAGATTGCATGATCTTAACTTTTAGTGGAGTATCGTTCTTCTTACAGAAATAAAAGACCTGAATACTTCTTCCACCACTGCTCAGCCTACCAGCAGAGGTGCCCTCTCACCTGATTTGAAACTCCCAGTATAACATTCTGAGCCTCAGTCTGGGCAAAGATACAGTGGAAGCTGTACAGAATGCCCCAGATCAAAATAACCTGATCTACTGATCCACTCTGCACTCAGGAGCTGGTACATCAGCTGCCTGTTAGCCAGAGAGCTGCAGAGACGTCATATCTCATTATAGAGTTAAAATATTATGTTTTTGTTTTGCAAGTTTGAAGACTTTTAACAGATGTGGAGCATTGTTTATTGCATTGGCCATCAATTTAATTACTTCTTATGGGATTTTGTGTACATTTGCTTTATTATCATATACATCTTTTAAAAAAAAATTATGAGTTATGCAGATTTAAGTCCTTTAATACCTTCATCCTGTCTCTGACATATTAAATATACAATAAGAACTGCCTCCCTCCCTCTGATGTAATCCATGGGGGTTCACCTCAGGGGTCCCACTGCTGGATACAGTAGACAGAAAGAAAAACAACCTGCCTGCTGACACACTTATTAGAATTATCACTATAGTTTGTTGGATATAAGTCCGCTGCAGGGGTCACTGTGAAAGCAACAGGCCTCCTGGTGAAAGCTCTTCCTGTGCATTTACTGTCCTGATCAGCCTATTTTTCTCATTATTAAGTTGTTTTGGGGTTTTTTTTATTTTGAATTTGGCACTTCATAAAAATAAAAAACACAGAGCGAAATTGATTGAGAGGATGCACACACACACACACACACACACACACACACACACACAGGTACATGGATGTATACAGAGACCAGATAATCCTTGAAGCTTAACTAATGAGATCAGCTTGACTATAAGACGTTTCATTCAACTTGGCAGGAAGTCTAAATCTTTAATGTGTGTGTCTGTGGTAGTGTCCACACTTTTGTGTGCAGCTGTGTGTGTCTAAATTGATCAATATGCGTGTGTGTGTGTGTGTGTGTCGACTTAATTAACTCTCACTGCATCTAATAGCGCAGCTCACAGTTCATTATCACTCATTCAGACTCTGCTGACCTCCTCCAACACCTGGATCACTGTCTATACAAAACAGATGAGTGTCTTCATGGGAACCAGGGTCTCCTCCTCCATACTTGTCAGAGGTAAACAAGAGCAGTACTTTTAATGTCTGCATCCAGTGCATCACATCGAGAACAGGAGGGAGATGGATATGTGATGCATGCTGGTGATCTTGTTTGTGATTAAAATAAGGACATTATTTTTGTTACAAATGTGCCAAGTCCATGTTATTTTAAGCATGATAAAGTTTGGTGATATTACACAAAAATACAGTATAATTAGATACCAAAAGAGAGCAAAACTAATAATGGAAATAGTTAGACGTGTAATCTTAAAACTTTCACTGGAACACATCCACATGAATACAAAGAAATGATATCAAGCTGTAAGGATAAAGTGCAACTTCCTTAAACCCATCAGCAACAAACGCAAGGTCTTTAGTTGTGGTTCCACAAGTCCAACATCTAAACAAATCTTCCTGCACGAAAAAGCCAGCAGTCACTTTTAATTGCAAGATAAAACCTTCTGCAAGCTTCCTTCTCCTCTCTTAGGAGTGTTTCCAAAATCTCTCTCACTCTGGCAGAAGCAGATTTTGGATTCCTAGGAGTCTCCAAAATATCCAGAACAGCACGGCCAAGACGTGGATGTAAGTGATTTAAACACAGAGACACTGGCAGGCGTCACTGCACTGGCTCACTGCCTCCTCCCATCTGAAGGAGAGTGAGAGAGAGCCAATTCAAAACAGTTCACCTCTGCTTTCCTAAGTCAGGCCACACCCTACCTCAAGACACATATTCAAAGCATAGGCCTAGTGAGGGATTCTGGGAGTAATCTTTTGCCGTTATATACTGTGTATAATGCCTTTAAATTGATCGTTTTGTGCCTGAATAGAAAAGACATTACTTCCCTTCAGGGGCCCAAACAGTGAAAAAAAGTGAACTGAACTGGATTTTCATTGCCTTGGTTTTGAAACAGAGTTTAGTTCATATCTTCAAAAATATTACAAAATATTAAAATAACATTTGTTGACTGCCTACATGATCTTTATGTTATCATTTTGCTCTCTGGGGCCTGCTCTAGTTTCCTTTTTGGCATTTTTTTTCTTTTTTTTGTATCAAACAACAATAAAAATGTGCCTAATAGTTTTTAATCAAGGTTAAATAAACAGATCAGATCATTGTCTTATTACAATCCTGTGTTCTATGTATATCTATTTTAATGCAAACTGTGTAATAAATGTAACTAAGAGCATCTTTTTCTCTACATCCATGAACAGCATACGTTATTTCTTGAAAACTTTAACATTATTATGAGTTGGATCTCATCTCATCCCTCCGTCTTTTGTGCTCAGAAAGAGACTGAGTGTTTCTCCTTAATCGATACAGTGAATTTTGGCCTTGGTAACCAAGTGGTTACATGCATGCCAAGTGACCGCAATGTCGACAGTTCAATTCAATTCCAGCCGACGACCTTTGTTGTGTGTCATACCCCTGCCCCTTTTCTTCCTCCATTTCCTGTCTGCCTTCTTCACTGTGACTGTCCAATAAAGGTGAAAATGCCAAAAAATTATCTAAAAAAAACACAAAAAAACACAGTGAACCTTCCACGTGGCTGACACATGGTTCTGATCATGGGACATGGACAGCCAGAAATAATTCTCTGGTCCAAACAAACACTGACTTTACTACTGTCACTATAGTGAACTGTCAGCTTGTGCATTTAAAACATGATTTGTTAGTATTTAGTATTTTTTACAATTGCTACTTTATTCCATACAAGTTTAATTTGAATTAGATGTTCTAAATGTCTCTTAATGTCTAAACATTATTTGTTTTTTCGGATATACAGAGTCACAATAAATGGGAATGGTCACAGGTGGGAAGCCAGTATGGGATTGTGTAATTTTTTCTGCACTTTGCACACGTTACTCCCACTTGGGGAGTGATAATGGGAAGCTCTGGGCCCAATGTAACTTCAAACTGCCCATCACCTGTGGCCTTTGTTGCATACCCCTCTCTCTCCCCATTTCCTGTCTGCCTCCTCACTCTCAAGCTGTCCAATAAAGCCAAAAAGAATATTTCTCTCACTCTCTCTCTCTCTCTTTCTCAAAAACACTCCCTGTGTCCCTCTCTCATAATTTTCATGCAGTCCCTTATATTATGTTCACATTGTGGCACCTGCCATAATAAAGCTGTGGTGGAAGAAATACTTTACTGAAGTAAAAGTATCAATAACTAATTAGCATTAAAATATACTTGAAGTACAAAATTTATTATGCAGAATGGCCCATTTCAAGATAATGTGTATTATATCACTGGATTATAATTATTGCTTCATTAATTTGTACATCATTTTAATGTTCAGCTGGTAAATGTTAAAGCTATTTTTAACTTTATATACCCCTGTAGCTTAATCAACAACAATGCAACATAATGTATTCATTGATTTAAATGTTGTATTAATATTCTGCAAAGTAACAAGCAGCTTAAGTTAAATAAATGAAGTGGCGTAAACAGTACAATACTCTGAATACACTCTGAATTATAGTGGGGTAGATGTATAAAGTAGCA